CTAGTGGAGTTTCCCGCATGAGGAGGGGACAAAAGAAGAGCAAATGGTGTGCCTAGCAAGGAAAACTCTAGAGTAGCAACTAAAGAAGTTGTTGGCTGAGGAGGTACCACCATAGGAGTCACTTGGGGGGCATCACCCGTCCTCGCCACCTTGGAAGAAGGAGGGCTCTTGCTAGAATAGCGAAATACTACCACCTTTTTACTTGCTGCGAAAATAATAAAGTATTAGGGAGGTGAAAAATACCAAGGGGAAGGGAAAATTAAAAGAGAAAATTGACTCACCCCTTTTCTTTGAAGAGGAACCACCAGATTTCTGAGAGGGAGCAACAACCTTAGTGTCCTTGAGCAGAAAAGCTCTTAAATCTTTGTAAGGGCAAGCCTTGATGGCCTCCAACTTCCACTCCTAATCTTGAGAAAGCACAGGCGTATCTGCAAAGGAATGGTGAGCACACATAAAAATAGATATAAGAAGAAGCAAATGTGCAGCGTACTAGGTTTTCTGGCTGCACCCCAATGTATTGGCGCCAAAGCTCTGTTGGCTTCTGCGACCCATTCTCCACCAACAAAAAAGAAGCAAGATTTTTAGCCGCAACAATTGGAGCACATTCCCGTGAGCACCGTACCACTTCTTGTGGTAAAATAGTACCACCCCATATTTGGTGCAGGAGTTTCACTCAAATTGTATGCTGCATGAAACTCCACAGGAGAAGCATCCTCATGGTACACTTTTCTCCATAATGCAAGAAAGCTCAACAGAACTCTCCAATCATTGGGTGCTAATCGCCCTAGAGTCGAGAAAAAATAATGCAAAATGCGGCAAATGGGAGGGGACATTGGAAATCTTAGCTCAGCCTCAAGCATTTTCTCGTAAACAACGATATCACCAGAGGAGGCGTCGCAAGCAAGCTCACCCATCTTAGCCAGGCGATACAGCACAGTCGAAGGAATACGGTAAGTAGAAACAAGCCTCAAGATATCTTTATCCGAATTGAACAAACGAGAAAGGGTACTCACCTTAGACCCATCGTTATCAAGTCCCAGTTTACCTTTTCGCTTCTTCTTTCGAGATCGTAAGGAGTGGCCCGAGTTATCGTCTTGAGGGATTTAACTTTGAGAAGTCACATTTGAAGGAGTCAGTTCATGATGACCAAAAGCGACACCCAAAGCTTCCTCGTCGCCTGCAGTACTTAGCCTAGCACTTGGAGGGGTGTCTGACGCTCTATGCTCTTCCAAACGAGACAACCCAAAACCTAGATAGGTGTCTGGCCGCCTCTGCTCACCAAAACAGGATAGCCCAACATTGCCTAGCGCTCCAAAGTTGCACAAAACAGCTCCAAAGGTGCCCGAGTCAGCACCTAAAGAGGCACCCTGATTTTGTCCTTACGCCCAGGCTGCTACCCAGCTCCCCTGCTGCATGCCTATTGGCCTGGGCAGCTCCCTTTTTAGCCTGCACATTGTTGTCCAGCCCACTAGACAACACGCGTGCACTGCCCAGTCCGCCTGCCTGCGCGCTGCCCAGTCCACCTACACTGCCTAGTTCGCTTGTTCGGGCGCCTGTGCTGTCCACCCGACTGGTTTGCGAGCCTGAGCTGTCCAGCCCACCATTTTCGGCACCCAGGTTGTCCAGGACAACATTTTCCGCACCAAAGTTGTCCAGGACAGCACCTCCAGCACCCAAATGGTCCAGACCAGGCTTTAAACTTCCCAAACTAGCGCCTAAAGTGGCGCCTACCTCCTCCTTTCCTTCGATCTCCACCACTCTCTCTTCAATTGAGATTGCCCACTTGAAAACTCCACTAGAAAGGAAAAAATCCCACCTATATAGGACTTGGGTTTTTTAAGTTCTCAAGAATGGATGCTCAATCTCAAGGCAAGTGAAATTGGTAGAACTTGGGCTCTCAAGATTTTCAAGAATGGTTTTCAATCTCAAGGTGAGTGAAATTGGTAGAATGAAGAAGAAGACTATATTTATAATCTAGAGTATTTTAAAAGAGGGAAAAGCTCAAATTGAAAATTATGGGCTCTCTTAAAAATCCTAGCAAAAGTGGGAAAGGCTTGAAGTATGCACCAAAGCCAAAAATACATTACACAAATGAAGAGTCAATGCCTCCTTCTCCAAGTTTCCTTAGCCATAAGAGGCATTGGGGGACAAATGATGGGTCAAGCCCAAGAAGAACCCAAACCTTAATTGAAGAACTCAGTCTTATAAAGACCCATTAAGCCCAATATTGTCCAAGTCCAGTCTCATCAGTTCGACTACGTCATCAAGAGAGAGAGAGAGCACGTGAGCCTTACCTGTATTGTCAAGGAAACAGTCCACCCTCACCTTATCCTTGACTGCATCTCATGGAGAGCATCTTAACCACCTCGCCCGTTGAGAAAAAATCATGAACTCTATTGAAATGGTTGCTTAGTTGCTGTAAGATAGCACCAACTTGTTAAGGGACACTATAAATTGCACACCCCACTAACACTTGGGGGGCATCACACATCACCTGAGCACGACTCTCTCATCTCCCTCAAATCTTGTACTCTCTGCTCCCCATACTTTTGAGTTAATAAAATACCTGACAACTAGAGTCATTGAAGAGTGGACGTAGGTCGAGCTGACCGAACTACTATAAATTGTATGTGTCTCTCCATCTCCTGATATTATTTTCTTGCATTTATTATTCAAACTTGACACGTGGTGTGCAAAATTATTTTGTGCATCATCATTCTCAATGTTTGTAATGATCAATTTTTTTTTATTGTATATGACCTTCTGACACGGGTAAAAGAAAATGAGAATACATTAGACAAGAAATTGGTTTATGGTAAGTGACTATAAAGTTTCTGTCCTCTTTTTTTTTATTGTTCAATTGGATTTACTCTCTATATGTATGTATTGTTAACAATTTCGAACTTGCGCACATGTTTAAAAAAATGTCTAAGAAGGATTTAATTTCTTTGTAAATGTGATGTTATTAGTAAATGCAACCACATTAGAAGCTGAATGGCCGCTGGGTTGGATGTATAACTTTTCACATTATTTAGATCTAAATTCTCTTGATTTTTTGCGAACCAATTCTTAGTAGTCAGTAATTAATTTTTTAGTGTTATTTATCGTGTTAACTGTGAAATAATTGGGTTATTCTGTGGATCTTTTCCTGAAGTAATTTGTATTTCCTGCTGTATGCATTTGTCGTTGATACCAACATTTCACTGCCGCAAACCTCCCAAGTACTCTTCACTCACTCTCTGTGGACCCACGCAAAACACCCCCTACCCACAATTTCACATCATCTCGTCTGCTTCTCTCCACCACAATTATCTTTTTCTACCCTTTTCTTTTGAGCTTTTACCCTAACCCATGGGGTTTTAAAAAAAAATTATCCAAAAGATGGTTGTTTTGAAAATATTTCTCAAACCCAAATAATTTTAAAAATGTTAGTTAAAATGACGTTTTTTAGACCAAAAAACGTCAGTTGGAGTAACGTTTTTAGGTTAAAAACGTCAGACCAACTGACATTTTTTGTGCAATAGTTTAGGTTTCAATGAAAACGTCACCACAACTGACGTTTTTATATTTTTTTTCGGAGAATTATACTTAGACCTCTGAAATTTGACACTTAATTACGTACGTCTTTGACATTTGAAATATTACACACAGACCATTTGAAATATATACACGCGTAACACTTAGACCATGTTGTAAATATATCTATTAATAAATTAAACTTAGACCCCCTTAAAGTTTGTAGGTATATAATACTTAGATCCCTTAAGTTTAAAATATTATACTTAGACAAAAAATACTCAAATCAAGATAGAATATTAAATATTATATATTTTACAACTAATCAAAAAATTAGTTGATATTCTATATTTAAGATCCAACATTAACGCAGTTCACCTCTTTTGTGCCAACCAGTTATGAAAATTAACACAGTTTACCTCTTTTGTGACCCTCTGTTTTGAATGACAACTGTCTCAGCATCCTTTTGGTTTTGGGCCCAAGTCATTCTCCATTCAATAGACATCAATATTTATCGTCAGATGAAATTAACAGGCGAAACCTGGGCACTTGTTAAAAGTAGGTGAATGCACTTGTCTTAAAGATTAGTGCAGCATGGCAGAGCTTTCAGACACATAAATTGGATGTGTTCATGGTTATTTGGCGTAGGTCTTGTGCTGGGAGGCTGTCTAACTTGTTTATATTGGATCTTAGTATCTTACTCATAAAACTTTTCTCAGGGAATATTTTGAAGATGTTGATCGCACTTGGGAGACATTTGAGAAGACATTATGGGATCATATTCGCAACTTCTTTAAACTTGCTAAAGAAAGGTAGAACTGTCTTTTATGAAGATGCCTCAACTGATGAGCTTCTCACTTATATTTTTATATTTTTGGTGTTAATCATTTGTACAAACCTTAGAGCTAAATTGTAGTATAATACTTGGGATGATCTGGATAAGCATTTTCGTGTTTTTACCCCAGATACTAGTGTGATTGGCAGCGGTCTCTATTGTGCATCTCTCAATAAACCTTCTTATATCTTACTAATGTCCTCTATATGTTTTATGATCCTTATGATGCTTATTTGTCATTTTGTACCTTTTTTGCAGCCCACAAACTCCTGTTCGTGCTTTGAGGTACGGTTGATTTCGGTGGTCGATACTGTTGATTGTCTTTGGTGGCAAAGAGAGGGAGTTTGACATTCTGTTTTGCACTTTACATAAATATGTGGTCTCAAAAGTACTGGGAGAAGAAAAAGATAGCATGTTATGCCAAAAAAAGATAGCATGTTATTCCCTGATAAGGACTATTGTGTTACACAGAAATGAAAAGGGATGTTTTGATTTTAGGAAAAGATTTACAGTGAAAATAGTTCACACTATAAAATAACCCGGACAGTAGTATGCATAATTATTACCTCCATTTCTTGAAGGCAAAATTACAAAAACAGAATGAAAGTTGTATTGATTAGAAATTATAAAGAATAAAGTTGTACCTTTCTCATATGTGTTGTACTGTCTTGTTAAGATCACCCATCCAAACACACTCGATATCCCTGGTGCTAAGATCACGCATACAAAGCCATTGATCTTTGCTGGTGTTCACTCTTTCAAGCTTCGGTGTGCATAGCGGTCCGGAACAAAAAAATTTCAATTTCGGGCAGTTGCTTATGTGCACTTGATCTAATGAGGGAAATTGAAGTCCACACTTTCCAGAGTAGAAAACGGTTACGTTTTCTAGATTAAAAAGGACTAGTCTGCTTAATCGTGGGAACACAATCACTTCTTCTCCTTCTTGGTTTGTGACTATGTCATCCATAATTCTGATTTCAGGGTAACCTTGCCCTGTTTCAATAATTTCTTCCATCATCTCGCAATTTACAAGGCGTAAATCTCGCAGATTCACAAGTAAGTTTACCATAACAGGTGACAACAGATATCTCAAGCTCCCACAATAGGAAATTTGAAGTGTTTTCAAATTGTGGAAACCTTGAAGTCCTTTGGGAACCATCTTCCATATACGCATTAAGTTAGATGAATAATGGATCTCCAATGACTCTAACTGACCGAGTATAACTTCTGCCTGTTCACCCTTAGCTTTTAGCCCCTCCAAGTCAAACACGACTTCAAGTGCATCACCACCCTCTATTCGAATGCTTTGGACGCTTCGAAACAGTTCTAGTTGAGCCGCTGCAGCCAAGTTCAACAATCCACAATCTGAAACAAATATGTATCGTAGTTGGTCAAAAGACCCAACTTGCATATGGCAGTCCACTATGTGTACTTTGTTTTTTCCGAGCAACTCTAGCATCTCAAGGCTAGGCAACAAAACCTGAAAATATTCAATCGGTGTGTCATAAGATTATTCATGAGGATCACACAAATCATATGAATGATGAAAAAATGGGAGTTACCTATTGACATAATATTGTCATCGATTACTCAACCCTCAAATAAAGGCAAGTCCTATGTCACTAACATTGCATAGTCGTCAGAGGTCTTAACTGATGAGAATAATCTTAGTTGATAAATATTTTTAAATTTGGATTTTTTCAAATACTCCAAAGGATTTTGTAATTTGAAGTTGACACTAGTTTTTTTACATACTCATAAAACCGTATATTATGACAAAAAAATTTAATTTCTATGCAACAATAATATGATTCCATAATTTTTTTTAAAATTACAAGATGAATCTCACATGTCCAAATTTATCCAAACATTTTGGTAAAGTATTTGAAGCGTGGCCAAAAGGTACTAGTCAATTTAGGCATTGAATTTTATAAATTGATGTGACAAAAAAAAAAAAAGATGTGTTAACCAAAAAAAATCCCCTCCCCTAATGCTGGCTCTGTCATTGCTCAAAGGATAGACCTCAAACCTGTTGTTCATTATTTTTGGGCCATATTTTTGTCATTTCAGTTTTCACATATGCTATTTCACACTGGTCTTTTTAAAAATTGCAAATCTCACTTTTCAATTCTTTTGAAGTTTTTCTGCCAACCAATTTTCAATCTCTGTTGCGCTCAATTTCTATTAGTTATTCGTATTTTCAATTTAGTAGCTTCAAGATTCATAAACACCATGTTGACCAGAATGATTGTAAATTTTGGTGAAAATAACAACTACTAAGAAGTGTTAGTATGATATAACCAACCTAGGTCAGATATTCTCAGATATTCTAACCAACCTAGAAATGTAAACCAATATCAACAATTAATGAGTCAGAAGTACCTCTATACCATGAGTTACATAATTCAAAATTGGGGTTGGGAATTTCAAACACTTTTATGTCTTATTTAGTGGTGACCTATATCATCTGTCTTAGTATTTTAATCGATTCTGTCTCCTAACTTTACTGTCATTATTACTTTCCTGTTAACAAAATCGATTTTGTTTCTCTGTATTTGACTCGAATAGTTGAAAAATATTACAAGCTAAGAAAAATATTATTAATAAAATTATGAATTTAAATGTTTATCAAACTAAATTTTATGGCTAAAGTGATCAAACAATCAGCACACATCAAGTGTAGTGGACTACGTTTTACAAAAAAACATATATAATATCTAGTCCAAGCATGGTAGCTCACAATATCTTTTTGTTCTTTTACAAACAAATTAATGTTTCCAATAATTATCATATGATATGAATTATATACATTTATTTTTAAATTCCTATGTAACACTAGAAAAGGATTTTCTATTAATTGTTATGTGATCCCCAAATGTACTAAATTGGTTGTAGTTTCTCTATGTTGGGGAGTTGATTATGGTGGACGAAGGTGCTGGAGATGATCATTGAAATCATTTTGGGGTTGTGGAGAGAAAAAAATAAAGGAATGAAGGAAGAATTTACAAGTGGAGCAGATTGGTAAAAATCAAATCCCTTTGGTGAAGATTGATGGCTTTAGAGCTGTCAACAAGTCCCTTTGGTCCACTTCAAAATCTAAAATTATGTATTTGGATCCAGAATATCAGCAATCGAGTGCGATTATGCTGATAAATAAGATAATTATGGTTTTTCATTGTTGAATTTAAATGGTATAATCTCTAAATAAAATATCAAAAAGTCCTTACGAAATGTTTAACAACCCTACTTGTAATTAATTTAATAGAATTACATCTAATACTACTTTGAGTCATTAATATTAATCAAGTATCATAATTTAATTCAACTAAATTTTGAATCTGACTTAAAATTATATCGTAATTCTACTCTGTATTACTAAATTTCTCAAATCTGCATATTTTAGCTCAATTTTCTGCATGTTCATGTTGAAAATGGCAGGAGAGAGAGAGAGATTATTGCCAGATTTACTGAGAGAAAATGGATGGTTATGAAAGATGGTGAATTTGGTGGTTTGGCATAAAAAATGACTTAGGAGAAAACAACTGTGGTGGCTATGGAATTCTTTTGTGTGATAAAATACATTTTTTGTCTTTAAAGTATGCATTTAGTGTCTATTTGATTTCTAATCTTCCAATTTTGTTTATTTGGTTCCTAAGGTTTATAATTTGTATCCAACTGGGTCAATCCCAAACGCGGTCAAAAAATCGTTGATAGTTCAATTACATGGTTCCTAATTTTGTGTATATTTAGTCCCAAAAGTTCCTAATTTGTGTTTATTTGGTCTCAAAAGTGCCCAATTTGTATCTATAGTTTAATTCCAAACCCTAAACCCTACTGTTATTGGAAAATAATTTGGGGACTAAATATATACTGATCATTGAATTGATAGTAGACTACATTTAATGTTGAAACAGATTGAAAATTTAATAGTCATATCTCCAAATTATGTCTTAATAACATTACACTTAAGTTTAAATAGCAGTGCCCTTCTAAAAGTAACCCTGTTATTGTTATGCAAAAGTAATTAACGCTATTCAAGAGCAAAAGCATACCTGTCTGTGGAACAGACTTTCTATGGCAACATTGTCTGAGTTGGGGTAGAAGCTTCGAAGCATTGGGAGATCATTCAAGCACAAGTGCTTCAGTTTTGGAAACTCAATTCTTTCTGTACTTTTTTTGCCTTCTTCCTCTTCCTTGGCAACAATATATTCCATCTGAGAACACCAGTATATACCTAGTTCTTGGAGTTGCACGAAGCTTTTAACTACGGACCCTGTGAAAAGACTCTTCATGGCAGGTAGCCTCAATAAAGTTAACTTTTTTAGTTGTCCAAATCTTTTTCCCGGCAGAGCCCTATGAATAAGATATTCAAGCTCATAACAACTACGAACCAAAAGTTCCTTCCAATTTACAGATTCCTTTTCATCTAGTTCATCGAAAAGATTCCTTCCCAAGCCCTTCATATCTAATAACGTGATAATTTCAGATCTCTCCAATAACGTCCTAAGTCCAATCCCAAAAAGCATGCCCATGTCAGAAGATAGAAGGACCAATTCGTTTTGGAAATGATATTGATCCAGTGTTCCAGCATAAGTCCCAATCGAAATTTTAAATCTTGTCAGATTGTCAAAGCGAAAGTCTTTCAATTTTGGCATATATTCAGCACTTAAGAAAATTTCTAACGTGTTCAGATCAGGCAATGAATTCAACTCCGCGTGTTCAGCCCTTTCCGAAAAGTTTTTTCCCATGTATAACTCTTCGAGTCTATTCAAGTTTGACAAAACACCAGGTGGAAGTCCATCACTGACAAAACACCTCAAATCCAACAATTTTAGATTACCGAGCTCTCCGATCTCGCTTGGTAATGCACGAAGAGTTGACATAAAAATGCTGAGAATTTCCAAGCTCTTTAGGCTTCCAATCATTGATACGTTGGTGGTGTCCAACTTGCAAAAATCTAAACACAATGTTCGAAGGTTCATCATGGATTTGAGTGGTGGTGGTGGAAGTTGAAGGAACATGGATCTTAAACTAACAACTCTGAGTTTTGTCATCCCTTCAAAAAAATCCCCTGAATCAAATTTGGTACAAAATTCATCCTGTTCCCTACTTTCGTACCTGCATTGCAGCTGTAAAATCTTGAGGTTTGGACAATCTAAGCCAACTGGAAACTCATTAAATTCACCAAACATCAACGAAATGGCTGAATAATGTCGGAATGTATCTTCTTGGGGCCACTTTTTCAAGCCAGCATCACATCTTACCATAACTGCATCCTTACCCTTAGATGCAATTGATATGCATACATCTCGTACAACATCATGTAACTTCACACTCTCCTCATCACCAACTAGTATCAAGTGACAGCTTTTGAGTTGATCGATTAATGAGTACACCGTTTCTCTTGCCTCTAACACGGTCTCAACATTTTCAAGCAAACGTAGCCCGACAGCATATCTCACCAAGCATTCAATAGGAATATCATAATCTTCTGGAAATAAACTGCAAAGCCGAAGCAATGATTTGGATTCATCCCTTTCCAACATATCATAGCTTAACTTTATAGCCGTTTCCACCTTTTCTGGAATTTTAGTATTTCTCCTTAGTTCTCGAAGCGCAACATTCCATGAATTCTTCTCTTTATGTTTCAGTGCCTTGGCAAGAGTCACAATTGCAAGAGGTAACCCTCGACATTCATCCGCAACTTCTTTTGCCACAGGTTGTAACTCGGTATTATCATCTTCAATTCCTGCCTTCTCCTTAAAAAGATTCCATGCTTCGTAATTAGATAGTAATCCGACTACGAAGTTCTTTTGAGATCCCATCTCGACGCACACATGTTCATTTCGAGATGTCAATAAAACTTTACAGCAGTGCTGGCCGACTCCAAAAGGAATTCCGAGTTCCTCCAACTTAAGTTCTTTCCAAACGTCATCTAATATTACAAGAATCCTTTTGCCATTTGACAATCTGATCCGAAGTTTATTTGCTCTGGCGAGAAGGCTAGTTTCATCACTCTCAAATTTCAAACCCAACATGCCTCCAAGGTCGCTTTGAATCTTCATGAAGTCCTGATTGTCGGACACAACAGCCATGACAACCTCATCAAATAACTTCTTAACTTCTACTCTTTTGGCAACTTCTTGCACCATTGTTGTCTTACCCACCCCAGGCATACCGCATATCCCCATCATCCTGATCGGATCATCCTCCAAAGCATCCATAACTTCTTTTGTAGTCACCATCCTAGATTCAAAGTCTTTGCAATCTTCTGTTATTACAATCTTCTGCAATGGTACTGCAGGGTATGCGAATGAAGTGTACTCGTTACCTTTATTTTGGAGTTCAACTAGCTTCTCAGACATTTTCTTGGCATTCCTGCTCAGCGAGTAACGTACAAGCAAATTTGGACACCACCCATTCAAACAACCCCTTTCAACTTCACCTCTACAACGTTCAAGAACTTTGTTTGCTTCATTCGTGGTTTCAACTGCTTTTTTCTGCCAGTCTTGAACATGTTTTCCAACAATTTGTGAGTTTCTTTCATCTGCGTCTGCCCGCCCCTTCACCCCATGTTCCACATTTTCTAGATCCTTGACATGTTTGGTCAAATTCTGAATGTTGTTTTTGTAGCAAAACAGATATCCAAACTGACGTCCGATTGGAACAACCAAGTAACCTACAAACAACTCTGTAAATTTTCCCAAGACAGAGGACCCCATTGTAGCAAGTGCCATTTCAGAGTTGAGTAAAGATTGCCAGCAAATGTAGAGTAGATAACCAGATTCTGAGGGAGGCGTATCAACTGTAAAATTACAACAGAGAATCTAAAAATCATCATAGATTCTCAAGTCCTATAAGTATCACCGAGCCTAATGTCAGGTCGATCAAATAACACATAGAAACGTTATGGGCCCACAATAACATCTCATTCCTTTTCATCCATTAAAAAACACTTGCAATTGTTGCAAGATTGATATAAATTTATTATAACTTGGAGAAAAGATAGTTGCAGATGAAGGCAGATATACTCAAAGAACAAAATTCTGCTTCGTTTCCACCAAAACGACCGAAATATTTGGGTATTGGTGGAAACTGAAAACATCGGTATGGTTTGAAATGGTACGATCAATTTTTTTCCCTTTTCAACTTGTTTCCGAAATAATTTCAAAAAAGTTTGGAAAAGTTTTTTTTTTCCTGAGCTAAATGAAACTTGGATCTTTGGATAAAGCAGAAAGCTTGATGGATGCAAATTTATTCTCAACTCATCTCCATTTTTGATCATTTCTAAGCACAGAAAACAAATTGGTGTAAAAGCTGTTCAAAGTGAAAGGTAATTAAGTCAAATCAATTTAGACATACCTCTGTTTCTTGATCACGATGAACAAGAGTGAAGAAGCAAAACAGATTTCAGCAGTCAAATTCAGAAAGCAGCAGATTTGCATTCAGCAGTCAAAGACAGCAAGAAGCAGATTTGCAATGGAGGAGGAGAAGGAGGATAGCTGAGAAGTATGCCTTAACAAAGAAGAGAGTTACTCCACTAGTTCAGCCTGCCTTATTTCTTGCAGTCATGCGTCAACTCTAAAATTTCGTGGCTGTGAAGTATTCAAAAAATGCCAAGTTAAAAAAACAAATGGCAGCCCTATTCACATGCTTCATGTTTGGGGATGACTTCACAACCACCACACACTATCATCATCGCCACCATCACCACTTCCATTCCACAATCAGCACCATCGTCTTAGTTACCACCGCTACCATCGTGTCATCTCATGGTCAAACAATGGTAAAGTCAAGAATTTTATTTCGTGAGATTATAAGTAATTTTATCTCTGCAAGCACTACCACGGTCAAAAATATATATAGCAACTCTGGCACAAATAAATTATTTTGCAGACCATCCTGATACAGTATTCAAAAAAAAAAAAAACTTTCATTTAAATGTTTCGAGGAAAGTCCAATAATTTTTTTTTCATGGAGTACTTTTCACTAAATAATATTTTTTAAATTTCAAAGGTCATAAAAAAATCTAATCAGTGAAAAAAATCTAATCATAATTGATTTCTGTTGGATATTACATGAGTAAGAATTCTAGGGCAGATAGAAAAAGAAAAGAATGTTAATGTGCTATAGATGAACTCTTTACCTATTGGCTTAAGATTTTAGGTGGATATAGATTCCAAATATTTATATTGGGCCTCGTATAAATCCACTTCCTCAAAACAAAATGGTATCGGAGTTGATGGCNGAAGCCCAACGCCGAATGTATCTGTTAGGGTCCTCCGGGTCCTCAACATACGGTTTTAAGAAGGCAACATGAAAAACTGAATGAAGCTTGAGATGACTGGTAAGATCCAGNCTTGGTTGTATTGATATTGACGATAACTCTTGAAGAAAATGTTGGTTTATTTTTATGGAGTCTAGTTTGTATATGTAATCCGGATGATGACCCGNGCAGACCATCCTGATACAACTATTCAAAAAAAAAACTTTCATCTAAGTGTTTCGAGGAAAGTCCAATAATCTTTTTTTTTCATGGAGTACTTTTCACTAAATAATTTTTTTAAAATTTCAAAGGTCGTCAAAAAATTTGATCATAATTGATCTATGTTGGGTATTAAATGGGTAAGAATTCTATACAGGATAAAAAAAGAAAATGTTAGAGTATGTGTGACTCATATATTTGCTGTGTGCATAATGACAAGGAGGCAGATGCCGGAGCGGGCAGAGCGTAGTGGAGCGGAGCCTACGACGACATTTGCCTTACGGGATTTATATAAAGGGGATGCNGACAAGGAGGCAGATGCCGGAGCGGGCAGAGCGTAGTGGAGCGGAGCCTACGACGACATTTGCCTTACGGGATTTATATAAAGGGGATGCTGATTAGTTGGGGGTGCGGGGGCAACACCCCCGCGGTACGGTACAGGGGTATTTTTGTAAATACGTTCATATTAAGATTATATAAATACTTAAGATGTAACCCTACTTCAATAATGGAAAAGAAAGGCCGCTCGCTCTCGTGGATGTATACACATTGCCAAACCACGTAAATCTCTGTGTGTTATTTTCTCCTGCTTTCTTAATTGTTTGATTCCTTACTATTCACCATAATTACTGCACGATCACAACAGAAAAGTATGTTAATGTTCTATAGATGAATTTTTTACCTATAGGCTTAAGCTTTTAAGTGGGTATAGATTTTAAATATTTATATTGGGTCTTGTATCACTAAATCCAAACAAAATAGTATCAGAGTTGATGACTGATGATCTTGGTTGAACTCTCCGAGCAGCGCATAGCGTATTGATTTTGACGACAACTCTTGAAGAAAACGACACGGTCTCTTGGAGATGGAGTCAAGACAACAAAATCTTTAAAAACAACCAATACAACTAGTTAGATGAAATGTCTATT